CCCTCATGGATTTCCAGGCATGAAGAGGAGCCAAGGACCAGACACTGCAAACTGAAGGACTTAGGTCCTCCAGAGGAATAACTGTTCTTGGCCTTAGAGTGTGAGAAATCCCTAGGACTGTACTCTCTTTGGAGGACAAGTCTTGGTGGCGTTGTATCGACACAGAGAGGAGCATGTGTGCAGAATTAAAATCCTGTCGTTCTAAGGTGCAGCCAGCATCCTGAGGTTGTTTAGTAAAGAGGTCAGGAGGGTTCGCCTCTCTAACAGACCCCAAGGTGCTCTTGTGAGATTTCATGGGCTTCAGGATGGAAAGGGACCTTGAGAGGAAGTTTGATTCATCTCTCTGACCCCACTGCATGATGACCCTGTTTAAAGGCTTGTCTAGAGAAAATTTCTCCAAGTTATGTTTATATATGGCTTTTAATAATCAACATTCCTTGGAAGTCCTCCTCTATATCTAACCGAAATCCCGTATCTTTTTGTTCTACGTTTGGTAGAATGATGGTGATCTTCTGTAAAATAGAAAGATGTGGCTGAGCAAAGAGATTCCAGTTCTTTTGACTTATGCTCAGGAGGAAGTACTTCAAAGCATTTTACTGCCTTCCTGATCTCTCTCCAGGTCACGGAGTAAGAGATCCATGGAGGTTAATAATTAACTCAAAGTTAATTATTTTTTATTTTTTATTCTTCTTTTTATTGCCATTTCACTTGCCGACAGACACTACCTTTTTTTAGCAGCATTTGTAGCCCTTAGTATATGTTTAAATTGAGGTGTCAGGAAAATAACATTGTGTACTTTTGCACTACATTTTTAAGATAGGAACTGGAAGTACAGGTGATAAATTGTACCACCATGAGTATAGACCAGGGCTTTGAACCGGTTCTTTCAGGTTCAAGCCCCTGCTGAGAATTTGCATTTCTAACAAGTTCCCAGGTGATGCTAATGCTGCTAGTTAGGGACCAATTCTGAGAATCATTAGCAGAGAAGAGGGTCTCAAAATTTATTATACGTAAGAATCACCTGGGGATTTTGTTAAACTGTTAGATTCTGATTCAGTATATCTGGGGTGGAAATGCAAATTCTCAGCAGGGCTTCAAACCAGAACAAACTGTTCAAAGCCCTGGTATAGACCCCAAGTCTCAGCATCTATGTTTTGACCTTCTTCCATGCAAGGATTCTGGTCTAAGTATTCCCCACATTGATTTTACAGGAGAAAACCAAACCCTTCTAGTGTATAAATTTCTTGGTTGCATTTTAATGTCGTGAACTATAGATTGATTCATTGTGTTTATTTTAAAAAGGCATCTCTGTTGATGGGAATAATTACTACAAACATAATTTCCTTGTAAAGGAGAAGTTACCCTATCTCTCCTTGACTGTGGCTTTCTGAGGTTGGTCATCTTAGACATTTTCCAAGCTCCCCAAGCCCCTCATTCCTCTCTGGGCCTCTGGCATTACAGTAATTACACTAGATGGCAAAGGAGTTGTTACCAGATAATATCTTAGAAATAGGGAAATTATGAGCTAATTTCAGGGCATCTCAAATTAATGAAAATGTTCTTTGTGGAGTGCTACCAGTATAAAGCTTTAAAAAATGACAAGTGGAAGCTATTTAAATCTTTTATCTGTGGAGCTTGGGACAAGCTCTGCCAGCACACCCAATTGCTATTATCTGGCCAACTGCTAGGGTGGACCTTTTATCTTCCTCCTAGGTTTGATTAATTAAATTTCCTCTGGGGCTTGGTTGTCATCAGCAACCTCTCTTGGGGGGAGGGGAGAAGAAAAGAATGAGGTTCCCGGTGACTGGACTGAGTCTGTAGGACCATCATTTGGTCTGGCAGGGTCCCACGCCAGCAAAGCGACAGGCAGGCACGGTGCCTCCCCTGTACCCGGTCTACAGTGCACAGGGCTGGCCACCTTTATCCCAGCTTGGACTGTGTGCCTCTTTGACCTTGTTTTATTAACCTAGAATTATTTCTCCCACATGGACATGACCAAAAGCTGTGCTTTAATCTGGTTGTCTCTCAGCAGTTGACTCCTTTGATCTCAAAGTGATTTCCCAGTTTTCCATGTTTTACACAGGGGAGAGCAGGGGAGGAGAAGAAGTCTGATGTTGTCTGGACACTGACTTGACCCTACTGGGTGTCTAGGGTATTCAGTTGTGCTGGTCCTTCTGCACAGGGTACTTTCCCTCCACTACCACCATCCCTAACTCCTACCAGGGCAGCTCCAACATTTCTATTGGAGGGTGGTTATTAGGCAATGCAATCTATTTAGACATCATGTTTAATAAAGTAGAGAGTCAGCAAAAGTGAAGGCACCCTCAATGAGATGGATTGACACAATAGCTACAACAGTGGATTCAGACATACCAACGACCATGAAGATGGCACAGGACTGACATTTCATTCTGTTATACATAAGGTTGTCACCAGTTGGATCCAGTTTGGCAACAACTAACAACAGTCTATTTGGAAGGGCTTGCATGACACTTATATAAGATTGAGAAAACTCAGTTGTCCATATTGACGAACTGGAATGGTGGAGATGTGGAGGTTGTAGAGAAGGCCGAAGCATGTATTACCCCTTGCTCCTTTCCCATTCTCTGTGTGCTCATATACCACCTCTTCTGAAAAGTTACCCGTCTTGTCCACAGCACTTCCCTTAGTTATCTCTTCCTCCTTTTTAATGAAACCTTTACTTCTCACTGAATTAAGAGTATGGGTTCAGGAATTAGGCTCCTTGGGTTCTAATCCTAGCTCCTCTACCTATTGGTTCTCTGACCTTGGACATCTTATTTAAGCTCAGTTTCTTCAACTGTAAGATGGGATTAATAAAAGACCCTAACTCTTGGGATTGTGGTGCCATTAAATGAGGAAAGCTCATGAAGCACTTGGGGCTGAACACTCTGAAGCACTCATTAACAGGGCCACTGCTTCCTGTTCAGCCGTTGTGTGAGTGAGAAAAAGGCACTTCTTCCTCCTAGATTTCTGCTCCTGACCTCCTCAGCCTGATGCCATTGCTCTGCATACAAGGCAGCACCACTTACTGTGGCTGAAGCTGTTGATGCTGTTATAATGGTCCCAGGTTGCTGAGCAATACCACATCCATCCAGCTACCCAAATGAATTTTCTCTGCACACCATTGGTCACTGGAAGCCCTCTCACTTCCACCTTCCTTAATGTCTTTAGAATCTTCTATTCCTTGGCCCCCATCAGCTCAAGTCAGGCCTTAACTAGCTCTTGCCTGGGTCACCAGTACCAGTTGCCATCTAGCTGATTTTTCTGCCTCATAAGTGCCCAACTCAGCCATCTGCCTTCAGTCTTACATACTTTCCTCTTAATCATGGTTTTTCTCCACCCTCCTGCTAGTTTCTGAGTTGCAAATCTGATTATGCCATTTCTTAATTTAAATCCTTCAACAGCTCCCTGTTACCCCCTGGTAAAGCCCAAGCCCCTTAGCCTAGCATCAAGGCGTGCAGGGCAGGGTCCCTGCCTCTCTCTGCAGTGCCATGCCTCACAAGAGACCCTGCTCCTACCTTCTCCCTGTCCTGCAATGATCTAGCTGTATCACAAAGATTTGAGTTGAGTGATGAATGACAGTGTTGATATTTTAAAGTATAAAGAACACAAGTCAATTTTTAAAGTTAAAACCCAACAAATAATTTACTAAAGATTACAGACAATTCACAAAGTACGGAGGTATAATACACACATAACAGAAAAATGCTGAACTCTGTTAATGATCAGAGAAGTTAAAAATGAAAACAAAAACATTTTTATGTGGTTATTAATCAAAAAATTTTTAAAGTTAATACACAGTGTTGACCAAAAAGCTGTAATACAGTAGTATGTCCAGTGAAGGGTGAGGGGGATTGATTTGAATGGAGCACATGGGAAGTTCATGGGGTGATGGAAATGTTCTGTATCTGGGTTGTGGTGGTAGTCACATGCTATATAAAATTTGGCCAAAATTCACTGAAATATACACTTAAAATTGGTGCATTTATTATATGTAAATTCTAACTCGATAAAGATGATTTAAAAAAAATACACAGCATTTACCAGTATTAGGAGAAAAAGACACTTTCCTATGTTGGGAGGCTGGGGTGGGGGTGGGGTTGGGGTGATAACATAAATTCATTCCACCTTTCTGGAGGTTAATCTGCTTCTATATTTTAAGAAACCATACTCTTCAACATTGTAATTCTCCTTCAAGGGCAGCATCCTAAGGAAAGAATCATGAGTTCAAAGATTTACGTAATAAAATATTTATCACAACATTGTTAATAGCAGCTAAAAACTGGACAAACGTTTTCCAGTAGGGGATTGGTTAGGTTATGATACATCTGCATGGGGGCCACTGCCAGCCCATGCGGAGCCTTCATGTAAATGAAAAGGTGTCCCCTCTGGGTGGGATGGCCCCCTCTGAGCCTTGCCGGGGAGCCCCAGCTGCATTTCAGTCCCTGCTTGTCCCCTCACCTGGGCACCTTGTACAATACCCACTTGTATAAGCCGCACAGCCCCTGTTCCGTACTATGGTTGATGAGGCAGACATTAAAACTGATGCCTTTGAAAACCGATGACATCGGGGAAACGCTGCAAAATAGAAAGTAGAATTTTACATGTAAATCTAATTTTGTTAAAAAATATAAAACCACTGAAAGGAAGCCTATCAAAATATAACTGGTGGTCAATATGAGTGATAAAATCATTGATGACTTTCTTTTTTCTAAGATTTTCTACCATCAGTACTTTTTGTTAGTTATGAAGCTAGATACAGATCTTACTTTCCTAATGGAATAGGGCTTTCCCTAGTGCTGATACTGGCAGTGGTGGTCTCTTTGAGCACAAGAACAGAAAATGGGAATTCTGTGCCAGAGTTAAAGGTGGAACTGGCTGGGAGTGGAGGGTAAGGGCCACTTTGTTGAAGTCCCATTGATTCCCACATAAAAGAAGATGCCTTTCTTACCTTTGTCCTCTCCTCTTTCCATTTGCAGGTTTGAGACATTCGAGGTAAACAGCTTTGAGCAGTTTTGTATCAACTATGCTAATGAAAAGCTGCAGCAGCAGTTCAACTCGGTAGGCTGGTGTTCCAGATCTGGGGGTGTTGGAGTGGGAGAGCCCCATCTCTCTTCCTGGGAGCAACTGCCCAGGCCACTTCTCTTCCATCTGGGGTCAGTGGGCTCTAGCTCTGCCCTGACCTTCCCTTGGTATGCCCCAGCTTTAAGAGGGAATTCCCCACCCCTCAGGAGGAGGTTTGAATTAGGCTATGATGAGGGGACAAAATGTTCTCGCCTTAGTTTTGACCCCTCCTCCTCATGAGTCTGGTCTTCTAGGGTACTTAAGCAACCCGCAAGCCAGATATAGGAATTCTTATGATTGGGTTGGGGTATGCCAATGCAGGCGACTATTAAAATGTCCTGGGAAAGGGTTCACATAGGGAATGAGAATCACCTAAGCTTTTCTCTTCTACAGTTATAACCATGTGTTAGTACCCAGACCTTTTCTGGTTGATACCCATCTTGCTCTAGGACTCAGGACTCATGTGGTTGAAGGCCCAGCAGAGATTAGTATTAATGTGTACATGTAGTTCACTAATATCTTTAACTTTTTATCCTAGCATGTATTCAAACTGGAGCAAGAAGAATACATGAAGGAGCAGATTCCTTGGACTTTGATTGACTTTTATGATAACCAACCTTGTATTGACCTCATAGAAGCTAAGCTGGGTATCTTGGACCTGTTGGATGAAGAATGTAAGGTAAAACTGATGATGCTGTCACTGAATTGGTTCAATCCTAGGCTTGGGATGTGGGACAGAGGGTAGCTGTGCAGTGCCAGGGAACATGTGAGATCTCAAAGCTGGAATTTTGGAATTTCATCTGCATACTAAAAGGTAACACATTGAGCATGACTGATGGATGTTGCTACGTTGGTAAACACTCACCTCTTTTGGCAGAAACTGGGTGGTATGAATTGACATGAAGTTCTCCCCAAGTATCTAGGTGCCAAGAGAAGGACCCCAACATCTAGACAGGTGCCCTCAGAGAGTGAGGGCTGGAGAGCCCAGGATAGTCTTTGCTGTGCAGGATGGCTTACGAGTGATTGACTCAGTGGCATATGAGATCCATAGATTTCCTCCATCTGTCTTTTCATGGACTCCACCTTGTGAGACAGGAAGAATGCTGAATTGCCAACATGAGGTGGAGAACCAGGCAGCGCTGGGTCAGTGTGGTGAGGAGATCTGGGCTTTATCTCAGTAATATAGCTTCTTTGACCTTTGATTCCCTGTTCTATTAATTAATGAGGATTGGGTCTGATGATCTTCAAAGTCTTTCCCAGTTTGGTGGTTAGTTGATAAGTGAGTAAACATGTACCAATTCCTCTAGTGACAGAAATGCTAATTAAGAAGTGTAGAAAACACATGATTCTTGGGACTGAAAAGGGAAGAACCAGTTGCCTTTTCTCTCAGTCTCCCACATCTTGCCTATAAAGGACTGAATGTGGCTTGATGATTTGGGAGGAGGAGACATTTCCCTTCCAGAAGGGCTCTTCTAGTTCCATTGCTTCTGCAAATGAAAAGGAAAGGTTAATAAAACAGTAGAAGACAAAGTGGAAATATACTGGAATCTACAGCTGGCACGTTTTTATCTCCTAAAGTTTTTCAGCATTTCTTCAGAGATGTGGGCTGCATCCTTAGAGTCGGTATCCAGGCTAGGGGAAAGCAGCGAGGTTCAGGGCGGGGAGGCCCAGAATGCAGACTGTATTCAACTATTGTGGCGGTAACCTGAAATCCCTGGACTTTGCAGCCATGGATACCTCTAGTCCAGTAGGTATCCCCAGAGCCTTCTGTTCTCTGCCTTCCTACTGAGTACATGCCACTGGGCCATCTCTGTAGGAGTCTGTTTTACTTTAGAGAAGCTAAAGGAAAATAAAACTCTGTAACTGTATATATGGGTGAGCTCTGCCTTATGCTCTGCAAATCCTTCTGTTTAGGTTGGGTTTGTATCCAGTTCACACCCCTGCCACTGCAATCCTTCAAACACCAAGGAATACTGTGCACCTACTATATGTCTTGCCTTTGGGGGATCCCCCCAGGAGAGGAGGAAAGAGTCTCTCTGCTGGCCAGTGAGGGAAAAGAATGATAGAATCATGCTCTGAAGGGACTCGGCCTCAGGGAGTGAGGGTAGGGGAGTCAGGAGAGGTCTGCAGTGGTATGGACAGGGCCCATGTTTGGAGGCCAGAGCTCCAGAGCAAGCAGGGAGAGGCATGGGCCACAGCTTGAGAGCAGCTGAGTGACAGCTGAGTAGCACTGAGAGCAGCAATCATCAACTCAGAAAGACAGCTGAGCTACACGCAGCAACTGTGATTCTAGGTTGGAGTCTTCTTGTACCCCTTCCCCAAGGATCCTTGGAAGATTTGAGGCAAGCCTGGATTTCCAGCTAATTAAACTGGCAGGGGCTTGGAATATTTAGTTTCAAGGTAGTATTTTGAATGGGATACATTTAAATTCACTGGCAGCCTAGATCATAGGTGTAGCAGGGAAGGCAAGATGGACACTAGTTTAAGGAATAATACAAAACCCCACAATGGTTCCTGTGGGAACTTTTTGTACCAGCTTTAATTGCTCTGGGAATTCAGGGTGATTTAGTATAATCTGGCGCAGCTTCTACTAACAGGTGGATTTTAAACCAACAAGTGTTACTACGTCTGTCAAAACTCATCCAATTGTACATACTTAAAAAGGGTAAACTGTACCATACGTAAATTATACCTCAGTAAGCCTGAGCCCTTCTGGAAGCATCCATGGAGCTGGGCCTAAGTGGGTTAGGAATTCCCGTGCAGTTGGTTGCACTGGGCCACTTAGCGCCCCTGGGGACTGGTCCTGTTGGCCTGGGGAGCTGCCGCAGACCTTGCCATTCCTCTCCAGATCTCAGACCCACTCTGCAGGAGGAGAAAGAGTAATGGGATCGCACTGTGCAGAATTGGGTCCTGTGACCCCCACCTGGCAGGCCAGAAATCCAAATGAAGGATTGGACAGACGCAAGGCACAAAAGCCATTGGGAAAATCACTTTTCCTGGCAAAGATACGCAGTGGCTGACAGGGCCGGTGAATGAGATTCAAATTAGAAATATGCAAGCGGGTGGGCATGGATTTAAAGGGGTAGCATGCAGTGTGGCTCCAGAGCTGAGAGCAGCTAAGGCATGAACCCAAGTTACCTCCCAATCGATCATCCTCCCCAGATCCTATGATTGGTGCCGAGGCTCTGGCCGAAAGCTGCGGAGGAGGTTTGGGGACCAGGGTATTAAACCACTTGAGATTCCTTCAGGTGGAAAAGCCCTTTTGCAGTTACAGCATCTACAGTCAGACCCAGGCCAAGCCTCAAACTACAGCTGCCCCTCAGTTATCCAGGGGGGCAGGGGAGATGTTTGCTTGTAGGAAATGTTTATTTCCAGGCTGCTCTTAGCAAAACTCGCCCCCCACCCCCCTTATTGCTGTCCCCCAGTGAGCAGTAAGGTTGTAAGGGGAGGGGCACGTGGTGACAACTCCTGCCCACTTCTAAGCCCTGTTATGGCTGGGCATCTCCTGTCCCCCTGACACAGTCCTGGTCATCAGCCCCCTCCCTTTGTGAGGAAGACACTAGCTGTGCTGCTGTCCGGGCACAGTGCATGCTTCTGCCTAGGTGACATATTTGCATTTCAGCAGGAATTTTCTGGAGATGATTCCTTGAGCCCTGGAAGCAATTCTGTTGTTCTTATTAGTTGCTGTTAATTCCGACTTATGGCGACACTACATGTGCAGAGTAGAACTGCTTCATAGGGTTTTCAAGGCCGTGACGTTTTGGATGCAGATTGCCAGGTCTGTCTTCAGAGGCACCTCTGGGTGAGTTTGAACCACCAGTCTTTCTCTTAATTGTCTGGTGAACTGTTGGCACCACCCAGGGGAAGCAATTCTTGTGAGTAAAAGTACAGATGCTGTTGCAGGTTAGAGAGATGGAGTTAGGGGCACACAAAGGCAGGCCTGAATGAGGGAAACAAGCACTGCCCTGAGTGACTAGGATTCTTCTGCTTGTTGGAACCCGACCTGAGCCAGTGCCTGAGAGCTGACTAGGATGGATCCTCATAATAAAGGTATTATTGCTGCAAAGTAGAATACAACCAGGATGAAGGCAGTGGGACCTCCCACCCTTCTGCTTCCTTACCTGTGCCCAGCATGCTCTCAGGAGGTTTACTCTGTATTAAGACCAAAGAGCCCTGGTTTCTTAAGAAGTGGCTCTAGAGGTCATTTTGTCTAAGACTTTTGTGTACAGGTTTGAAGCCTGTGATTGAGAGAGATGAGGTGGCTTTCTCACATTTACTCATTCATTCATCCAACAGACCACATGTTCGACAGTAATGAACTGACCTCCTGCTCTTAAATTGCCCTCACACCACTGAGGGCGCTCAGGCAAGTAAGCAAGCACTTGAAATACAGTGTAGTGATAGAGAAATGGAAGCACAGGAGGGGCAAAGCCCCTGCAGAAGGAGCCATTTAGGCAGAGAAGTCAGATGAGGGAAGGTAGTCTGAGTTCTCCAGAGCCTGCGATGGTGGCAGGTGAGGTTGGAAAGTGGGACCCATCAGAGAACGAGCGGCTTTGTCTGCCCTGACAAAGCGATTGGCTTCACTTTGAAGGCTCTGGGGATCAGTCACAGGGTGGGAGGCAGTTACCAGGGAGTTGTCTGGGGCAGCAGCCTAATTTCAGTAATTTGAGGAGAGAATAGGAGGTGAGGCAGTAGAGATAGCAAGTTTTAATTACCCCTTCTGGAGCCTTGGCTGTGAAAAGGAGGAGGCGAGAGAAGACAGGCAGCTTGGGGATTCAGGGAGGAGGGAGGGTGGGTGGATCATGGTCCCCAAGGAGGCAGAAGCTGGGTGGATGGGACAAGCCAGGGTGAGAAGCACTTCTTCCAATGAGAAAGGCTGGAGGGGCTAGGATGGCTGTGGGTGCAGATGAGTTTCTGGATGTTACAGCAGGAATTTCCTGCATACCAGCCCCTATTCCCTTATTAGGCATGCGCTAAGAGGTGGCAGGGCCAGAAGCTCGAAGAGAATGGAGGAAGATAGTAATAAAAACCAAAGTCATTTTCGTCAAGCAGATTTCAACTTTATAGCGACCCTTATAGGACAGAGTAGAACTGCCCCATAGAGTTTCCAAGGGTGTAAATCTTTACAGAAGCAGACTGCCGCATCTTTCTCCCACAGAGTATCTGGTCGGTACAAATCACTGACCTTTTGGTTAGCAGCCAAGCATTTAACCACTGCGCCACCAGGGCTCCTGGAAGATCGGAATAGAAATGCTAGAGTACATAGATTTTCTTGTTGAGATCAAAGACCGTATATTAGATATAGGAGTTGTTGAGGTCAACTCTCAGTGTAGATCTGGGAACAGTATCTTAATCCAAAGAACAATTCTTACAGCGGCTTTATTTTTTGGCAGCAATACTAAATTATACCATGTCAGTGGGACTTGGCTAGGGGCAGATGAGTTGATATGTGATCTTATCCAACCATCCAGGGGTGAGAATGGAGAGGATGGGTAGTTAGATCAGTCTAGAATTGGTATTTTCTGAGCAAGCAGAGGATATTTTGCAAAGATGAGAGAGTAAAGGCCTGGACCTGGCATTGGGGACAGCTGCCCATTGGGGAGAGGAAGAAGCTGCCTCCACCCTAGAAAGCTACTGGACAGTAGAGTCCTGGAGGTCCAGCCAGGCTTCTGTGAAGGGAGCCAGAGGGCAGTCTTAAAGAGCCTGAGGGTACAGACGTTTTATGGTGGAATGGCAATTTGAGAGGTCAGCAGTGGTAGGAGGTATCAGCGTAGAAAAAGATAGTAAGTAAGTGACCAGTGAGGCAGTCATTGTTGGCACTGGCCTAGGAAGACAGGGACAAGAAGCAAAGATGGAATAACTGGCTTTGGGTCCTTAACAGTCATCTTATGTCAGCTGTTTCATTGGGGACCAGGCTTTGGCCCCAGGTGATGTCCCAGACCCATGATGGTAGCCGTCTGTGATACAGAATGCAATTTCTGCTCAAGGTCCCAAAGAGAAAGTTGGTGAAAAATCCTGGGCCACCGCATTTTTCCCTCAGGCTGTTGCGGAAGAGTGTGCTAAGTACTTACACTTTTTTCCCTCTAATTTTTTCTATTGTATTTTAGTGGCAAAGAGTAAGTAAGTTTTAACAGCTTTATTGAGATGTAATTCACGTACCATACACTTCACCTATTTCAAGTGCACGATTCAATAGTTTTTAGTATATTC